GCTTCGTCTCAAGCGCCATTATTCTCCGGACTTAACAGTACTACTCCAAACAAAAAAAGTGGTGTTATTAGCTATCAAACCTCAAAAATACACTTTTCCCAAAAGGTTTCCACAATTTTGGCCACTACTGTAAACAGTAGAAATTCAGCTAGAGTCCATCTTTAGAAAAGGTCAATTAATGGAAATATTTCAATAGTATTTATGAATATTATTTTATATCTTTCCTCCCCCCTCAAGAATTTAGAAATCGTAGCCAATGCAACAAATTTTCATTCTTCTGCCAGAAATCAGGAATGGGATCAAGCCCCAATAAGCTGCAAACAAATCACATAGGGATCTGGAGCCCCTAGACCGGTTATTATACCTCAGGTTATTGTGAGGAGGATTACATAGAGGAAAATTTTCATATCATACCAGTTGCCCTAAGATATTTGAAGAAATGGCTGGAGAAAAATACAGAGAAATAAATAAATACTTCCTCTAGATACCAGTTTGAAATGTTAAGCATCATGGTCCTCTTGATTGAGAAATGGAGAGTTTTGTGGCACTTTAAAGACTAACAAATGGCTGTAAACCCTCCTTCAAGGGACCTTGACTCCTGGTGATCATTCTGTATGGCACAGTAACATCTTCAGGAATGATTTAAAACATCTCCTTCACTCTCCAAACTTTCTTTGCCACTTATTTTATTACCTGGTTTAGTGGAAGAATGCCCTGGCAAGCGATTTTGGTTTCAGTAACTTCCACTTTAGCATTAATTCCCAACTTGTCATGTAAATTCACTTCCTGGACATTGGGGCATGTTTAAAGAAGCAGCTACTGATAACCAACATACAAATGTTGAGGAGTATGCCACCACGGTGTCTGCATATATCCAAAAGTGCATAGAAGATGTCTGTGTCCTGAAAAGCATTGTTGTGAGGGCGAATGAAAAACCGTGGCTGACTTATGAGGTCCGCAAGATGCTGAAAGCACGGAATGTGGCTTTTAAATCTGGTGACATGCTGGCACTTAGAACAGCCAGAGCAAATCTGAAAAGTGCCATAAAAGGTGCAAAGCAAGCCCATTGCCAGAAAATTCAG